TTATTTCCTAAAATGTCTATAGTCTTGAATTTAATATACCTATGTGTTTACGATTTTCAATAAGCTTACAAACTTGTCGTTTAGACGTTTAAAAAAAATAATAAATAGCTAATTACTATAATACTCAGTAGGTATTGTATTTTTGTTTAATGTAAATCATTTTATTCGAATCTATTTTTAATATTACTTTAATTATAATCATTAAACATTAATAAAAATCATTTTATTCATTGCGAACAAAATAGTTACTAAAATATATTGATGAATACTGACTAATGATGATAGTTGATAACTTAAAGAAAGGCTGATAAAAATATAACAAATAAAATTTATCATAATAGTATAGCATATTGTACAACTGCAGCTATTGCCAAAGAAGTCGAAGATTAATCAGATAAAAAAAAAAAAAAATGTGTTGTTCATTTATTGTAGTTTATTATTATCTACTATTTGATTGATAACATAAATTATTCATATCTATCTACAATACATAGTCCTGTAACAGCCGTCAATTTTACATTCATTTACTATGCATATATTATGGATTACAATTTGCCACTTGGTAACTATGACGGTATAAAGATATTTCGTTTGGCAATAATAAATATCAATGGATAAAGTTAGAATACCTAATCTAAGTATTTATACTAATCATTTTTGTTGTATTAATTTTGTATACTTAGCTGTACGTCAGTTTTTAATATAGGCTTTTTTAATTTTTGGAAGAAATATTTTGTAATGATTACTGTTTTGTTTTATTTACTTAAGGTATATACAATAGGTATTCGTGAATTGTAGTTCACTAATGTCCAATGTTCGAATTAGAAAAAAATGCATTTATATTTTAATTAATTTATGTGATTTTATATTATTTAGAACGTTATTATTATCAGCGTAGAACTATGTTAAAATGAAAGTATATAAAGAAGTATTAAAACGCTTTAAATTAATATTAATTAATATTTACTTTTATTTCAATTAATATTTTTTAAATGGTTACAATATTTTCAAGATATTTTTAGTAACAAAAATGTTATCATTTATTAATTAAAAAAATAAAAAGAAGAAATGTTATCATGTTTAAAAAATTATTTTCTAGATGTTTGATAAATATTTTAAAACTCAACGGTTATTTATATTCTAATAACAACATTGTTTTTAAGTTAGGTAGTTTTAGGTAAATATATTAAACTCCCATTTTCCTGTAATTGAATTTTTGTTTTAGACTTTTAGCTGAGTATTTTAAATAGTAAGTACTCGGAAATTGTACTTTTGAAAATAATCTAAGCACCAATTAGGTTTGCTTTTGTATTAAAAATCACCCTCTAAATAGAAGATTGAAATATTTTAAATGCTCTTAAATTTGATGACAGATAAAAAAATACACAAACATACTCCATTGTTGAACTATTACTGCATTCATCGCTCTACTTAGAATTTAATACAAGTCCCCTTCATTATTTACGAGTTCTTAAGGAATGTACACAGAAAGCTATGCTGCTAAAAAAAGAATGAATGTTTTAATATTTTAAATACAAAAACATGTTTTCATGTAATTATAATGTACGTAGAATATAGATATATTATGATGTTTCAAAAATAATTTAATGATACTTTTTTGTGTTTATTATTAACATTATTATATTTATGTTTAGCAGACAAATATATAATTTATTAATACTTCAAAATCTTCAAAATTAGTAGGTACAAATTATCTATCTATTTACTTGTTTATATATCGTTTCAAGCTATTTCAGTTGTGTTCGACTAAATGTATTCAATTAGTTGTAACAATAGGATCATTATCATCTTTCTCTAGAAATTCACCATTGATTAAAAATTTAAAACACTGAACATTTAAATTTTTATTAAAACGAAAATACGATTATGTGTAATAATCGTCAAGCAGTGTCGTAGTGGAATCAACGCAGGTAAGTGATTTTGAATAATAATAATTACAATAAAATAATTGTAAAAGTATAGCAATGGACGTATTTTATTGATAAATTTATATATGGCTCTTTCACGTGAAAATATTCAGCAAGGCGTGTGATTTCTAATAGCGGTTCATTAATTTTGGCCAAACGACTAAAAAAGGCCCATTTATAGATTATTAAATAGTTTTTATACACCCACAATATGAGTAATTAATTATACAATTATAAATCTATAACAACACTCATCAGAAGTTTATTTAGGAATTTTTAATGTAGAAGGGTAATCCAGATAATTTTCCTAACACAGTGATGTGGTCCATGTAAATACTCGTCCCACAGACCCTTCAACAATATACTATAAAAACTCTAAATTGTCGGAAATAGATTAAAAAAGAATCAGGTAGGTACATAACTTCGACCCTTAAAACTTAGAGTTGCTATTGTGACTTTACCGGATTTGAATAAACCGTCCCGATATCCCGACAATATGTTTTTGGATGATAACCAATAATTATCCCAAAATTTAATTTAATAAAAAAAATATTGTTTTGATAGATGATAAAATAAACAAATCGATTAATTGATTGGCTGACGAATACGTTCATTGTTTTCCTGTTCCCTCGTGACAACTTTTACAATCACTTATAACTAATAATTTTATCGATTTCATTGATTTTTAGATAAGAGTTTGTAATTTTTTATTTTTCAATTATTAAAGATATTCAGTATTTTTCAAAATTATCGCATAAACAAAAATAAATTTAGGAAAATATCAATGGAATTTTTTACGATAATCCACAGTGCTTGACAAAATAAAATAATTTATTTTTATTTTTATTATACTTCTTAACATTGGAATCTAAGGTCATTATAGCTTAAATTATATTTACACAATATTTGTAGTTTAGATTTAGCTTAAATTAAATTAAGTTTAGTTCACTTTTCTTTAGGAAGTTAATGATATTATTATTTGAGCGGAGGTAAGGTTGTAGTGCTTCTCCTAATATTGTCGTGGAATGTAGTGTTTATTTCTTGAGTATTCGAATTTTTGGCATTTAGTTAAGATGTACTTGAAGATATAATCCATTCAATTCAATTCACACATGGCTGGGTCGTTTTTGACATGAGGTGGTTGTTTGTTAGGAATGTTTGCCCTATTCAAACTATTCGAAGGTGATTAATAATGGTTTCGTTTTACCGTTTTAATTTTTTAAATCGGGGTTTAGCTATACATGGATTTATGTATTTTTTTTTTTTATTGTAATTTAAAAGCAAATAATATTAGAAACTTAACATTTTAACCAAATATTCATACATGCTTTAACTAGACATGAAAAAATTTAAAAACTTTTTATATTATTTAGTATTTATAGAGATATTTTATTTTTTCGACATTCTTAGTTTTTCTAATCTTTCTATGTATATGTAACATACAATTTTCATTTTTGAGTAAAGAGTCATAAATTAACACAAAGTACCTAATATTACACTAATATTTTTTATAAACATCTGAAGTTTAAATTTATATTAACGTTGAATTTAGATATTCGCGTCTAAAATCGTTCAAAAAGTATTAAAAAGTTTAATCGTAGAAACTTTAAGAAATTTTTCAACATTTAAGTTGATTTTTGATAGATAATAAAATTGATTTTTCTAGTAAAATAAAGAAATTATTTTTAAATATAACTGAGTTGTATCTAACTTTTTCCGAGTTAAATTTAATCTATCTTTCTATCGTTTTTTGTTTTGCCACAGTAGAAATATGAAAAAAAACGTAGGTAATTACAATGATTAATTTTATGATTTTCTGTTTCTTAACTCTGGACATATTTTTATATAAACACAAAAAGTAATAAACAGATTCGACGAAATTCTTAAGTCCTCGTTCGCTCGATCAAATATTGAGAGCTTAAAATAGTCCATACCATTTTCCGATTAATAAATAATATACAAAATAAAATATAGTGTATTGTTTAATTGAAACTATTGTCAAAGTGTGCGACAAAAAATCCTTGTTTATTGTATTTATTATTGTATTATTTAATAATAAAACCCAAATTTTAAAAATATATTTATAAATCACGTCTAAAATGTGTAGGAATAAATTATTTTAATTATAATAGAAGGTATTCCAATATTATTGTCTTCAATAGATTATTTCATTTTTTAAACAAGAAATGGGAAATCCATTGCCAATATTTTATTTACCTACATAAAATTCCGGTTGATTTTTTTTTGGAATTCCCCTTTACCCTGAATCATTTTTGTAACGCTATAAAAAATAATTGTTATTGTGATAATTCTACGGTATAGACTATTATAGATTAGAACAAAACGTGTAAAAAACGCGTTCGTCTAAATTCATATAGCAAAATATCCCAGACACCATTATCTGTATTCATCATGCCAATTTACTCTTTTACAGTTTTTACACACACTCGCCACCAAAACGAACGGTATTAATATGTTTTTATTTGCTAATTAGTAATTTGTAACAGTCTTTTAATCACATAAAAGACCATTTTTAAGGAGTTTAAAATAGGCAAAATTCTACGATCGCAGCGAACCGTGTGCGTTTTCTCGTGGTACAATGTATACTGTATAAGTGGTGTATGGTAACTACGAATATTAAATCACATGTGTGGCTCATAGAGCATTGATTAAGTCACAGATATCAATAAATATTTTGATTAAGTATATAAAATATAAAATGGTATACGTACAATGGTAGTAGGTACTACGGTGTTAATAATTTTTATAAAAGTATAAGTAAAATATTAAAACGGATATATATTTTAATTTCTAGAATATTAGTATATAATTTTCCTACGCCGTCGTTTTTGGTTCGATTAAAAAATAAAACACGATCGGGGAGAATTCAGAAAAACAATCATAATGAATAGCCGTTACACAAAATGATAATAATTATACTTCTCTTTCGATTGTATGTTTTTTTTTATAGGTTATGTGTCGCATGATGCACTGGCTTATCGTTATCACATAGTATTGTTCATAATATTATTACTGATATATTTTCAAAATTTTTTTTTTTCTAAACAATTTTTAATTTTGTGTTACACAAGTTTATTTGCTAATTAATAGTTATTATCAATTATTAAAAATTTGTTAGAGATTTTATTACCCTCAAAATGTTGCATTTACCTTATTACGATTTACAGACTAATTTCAGTTCAAAAAATTTGGGTAAGACATCATGGTCAGAAGTTCAATATTCGGATCGAAGTATCTTATATCGTATTGAGCAAGTAATTAAATCGAATAAAATATATTTTTGAATGCTTTTTATATCAAATGTAATTAATCTATTATAGTATTTAAACCGCTTTTTGCTATCAACAAAAAAACCAAGATTTCTTGATAGAGAAGTAATTGTCAATGCCCTGCGAACAGAGTATCCAGAGTATAATAGGAAACCTTGGGGTGTTATGTTAACTTTGACTGCTAGAGGTTTGTATCTTGTTAATATTAACCTTTTATCTCTTCGTAATGTTGTATTTATTTTAGCGTTAGTTGCACTCGATGAAACAAAAAAATTAAAAGGTGCCAAAGCATTAGAATACGCATCAGAAGACTCAACAATTGACATAATATCTTCTGAAGATGAGGATATTGACATAACAAATGATTTGGATCCTCCAGAAAATTCAAACCATTATATTACTGAAGTAAACAATTCAGCTTCGGAATTAGCCCAGGAGTATACATTATGTTTATTTTATTTTGTTATATCGGATTGCATAAATATTAATTAATTTAATAATTCACTTAAATGTAATAAACCAATAATTGGTTACTAAATCATGTTAAAAAGACTATAAGCTCGTTAATGATTCATTACTTATTCATGTACTAAATAATTATGCAATCTAGAATGTTTATAATAAGTATTTATAATACATAAAATATAATTTTAGAGTTGGATTAAATTCTTTCACCTATGATTTAACTACCAACAGTGAAAAAAATAAGCCAGCTACTTACCCTCCTAATGACTCTGAAATCATGGTATTTAATTTGATAAGTATTAACACTTAGAATTAAGAAAATTAATTAATTTATCATTTACAGCCTGGTTGGGTAATAGACAAGATGCCAATGAAAAGTGCAAAAAGAAAAAACAATTTAGACAAAACTGTCGAAGGAATGCCAACACCTTTGAAAAAAGTTTGTCAACAATTAGGTACTGCTGAAGAAGTAACTTTAACGTTTGATGATTTAGCTGGTTGTGATTCAGTGTTATTGGTATTAAACAGAATTAATCATAATAAGCTCTACATAGTTTTAGTAATTTGATCATATTATCACTATGTTTAGGAAATATGTCAGCTAATAATGCATATCAAGCACCCAGAAGTTTATAAGACATTAGGTGTATCTCCTCCAAAAGGATTTTTATTGCATGGCCCACCTGGTTGTGGTAAAACCCTCTTAGCACAGGCAGTAGCAGGAGTATGTAAATGCATGCATTATTTTTCATTAATATTTTTTAGTATTAACAATTATTGCATTTTAGGAGTTAAAAATTCCATTAATAAGCATTGCTGCTCCACAACTAGTTGTCGGTATAAGTGGAGAGTCAGAAAAACGAGTGAGAAAATTGTTTGAAACTGCTGTTAAATCAGCACCTTGTGTACTGTTCATTGATGAAGTAGACTCAATTTCTCCACACAGAGAAACAACTTCACGGGATATGGAACGTAGAATTGTTGCTCAATTACTATCATCATTAGATAGTGAGAACAATAATTTAAAATATAATTATAATGATTTATAATTATTGTATATTTTTACATTCATTTGATTTTAGGTTTAAAAGATGATGACAAAGTAATTGTGATTGGTGCTACAAATCGTCCTGACAGTTTAGATCCAGCATTGAGACGAGCTGGCCGGTTTGATCGTGAAGTTTGCCTCGGTATTCCTGATAGACAATCTCGTAGAGCAATGTTAGATCTGATGTGCAAAAATTTACGAATTGATCCAACTGTCAGTTTGGATAAATTAAGTGAATTAACACCAGGTTATGTTGGTGCTGATTTGAAATCCCTCACAAGAGAAGCAGCAACTATAGCAGCTAATAGGTAAATGTTTCTATTTTATACTTATTAGTTTTGTAGTAAAAAAGTGATATGTATTATATTGTATTATTTCTAATTCTGTAATTAGTTAATGTAAAGTTAATTTATGTAAATCCCAACCTAATTTTATATATTTATTTATTTGAAAAGTAAAATGAATATTTTGTATTATGCTATAACTAATTATTCTTAAACAGAATCATCCCTAAGCAGAGCTAATGAAGTTTTTACCTTGGACCTTTTATTTTTGACGTATTATGCAAAGTACGAAAACAAAACTAATTTTTAATTGTTTATTTTTAGATTAATGTTTAGGTATACTTTAGTCCAATTTATTAGCAATTATGATTATTTAACATTTATACAATTTCAACCATTCAGTTTTCATTGATGTTCTAGTACTATTTCAGTTCTCACATTAGCAATGATATAAAATTCTTACCCACATGTGTTGTCTCTGTTGTACTAATGAATAACATATAGTAAATGTTATGTTCAAAATAATTAATTTTACTGTTCTTTGGCATTAGAGTAAATTTATCTATTATTACATTTTAAGGTAAATGTTTAATCTAAGGGCCTTTACTCAATTTTTTTAATAGTTACATTTTTATGTAAATTATGTATATTTTAAAATTGTACATTTACTCATAATTTGCTTCGTAATGTAAACATTTATAAAAGTTTAATATTATAGAGAACCTTATAATATTTTTTATTTTAAATCCCATAATAGGTTAATTTAACTAGTGGAATAACTTTAATAATAATACAACATTATAATTGTTTTATTAAATTAACTGTTCTGTATGTCAAATATTCTGTAAAGAGTTAAATAACATTTATTTTATTGTTATAAATATGCATACATTTTATAAATGAATACTTTTTGTTTAGTAATTATTAATGCAATAGAACATTTCTAAGCTAAAAATCTTGAATCTTATAATGTTAGATCAATAATGTGTGTAGACAATTGAGCAAAGAATATTTTAAAAATAACAAACATTCTATATCCCTAAAGCCTATAATTTAGTTCAAATTCAATTTAAATCACCAAATTACTATAAAGTAAAGTTTATAAAGAATACTAACACTTTGTTATTCAACGATTTGAAATATATTTATACTAATAATTTACTTATTAAAGTATTATTTTACTTAATGTATTTTAATAGAACTATTGAAGCTATAAAAAAGAAGTTGCAAGTAATATCTGATGACGATAAACCTGATGAGACTGAACAATTGTTATCTTCAAACAAGAATGAAGTCAAAAATACATTGAAATTGCTTCGTTCAGATAATTTTATTCCGACAAATGAAATGAGTGAAATAAAAATTGAATTAAATGATTTTATAGAAGCTCTGAAGAAAGTGGTTCCTTCATCCAAAAGAGAAGGATTTGTTACAGTGCCCAATGTTACATGGGATGATATCGGTTCTCTAAAGAAAATAAGAGAAGAACTGCACATGGCTATGTTGGTCAGTATATTGATATTATTATTTTTATTTTTACCGATTTGTAATATAAACAACTTATTTAATTGTTTTAGGCTCCTGTAACTCACGCTAAAGAATTCACTGCATTGGGTTTAGATGTTCCTACTGGAGTTCTGTTATGTGGACCTCCAGGTTGTGGTAAAACATTGTTAGCCAAAGCTGTAGCAAATGAAGCTGGTATTAATTTTATATCTATTAAAGGCCCTGAATTATTGAATATGGTAAGTATAATATACTCGCTTAATTTTATATGGTTTAATTAACTTTATTATTTTGATCTATTAGTATGTTGGTGAAAGTGAACGAGGAGTACGTCAGTGTTTTCAAAGAGCACGCAATTCACAGCCTTGTGTCATATTTTTTGATGAAATTGATGCACTTTGTCCTAAAAGAAGTGACATGGATGTGTGTATAATTACTTAATATATAATTAATGTTAGTTTTGTTTGTGTATATGTTATAGAATTATTTTGTTCTGTTTAGGCAAATGGTCGTTCTGGTCAACGTGTTGTCAATCAATTATTAACTGAAATGGATGGTTTTGAAGGTGGTAGAAGTGGTGGTGTTTTTGTTATGGGTGCAACAAATCGGCCAGATATGATAGATCCTGCTGTACTTAGACCAGGACGTTTGGATAAAGTTTTATATGTTGGATTGCCAGATGAAGAAGGCCGCGTAGACATATTAAAAGCAGTGACTAAAGTATGAAGAACATTATTAAGTTAATCAATTTTAATACTAAAAACTTGTTGTATTTTTAGAATCGTAAAAAACCAGTGTTGGCTGATGATGTAGACTTGGAAGCGATTGGCAAAAATGAAAAATGTTCTCATTTCACTGGAGCTGATTTAGCTGCACTTGTACGAGAAGCAGGTATTTTATGTCTGCAAGAATATATAAGTTCAAATGATGTGAATAAACAATTGGCAATCCAGAGTAAACACTTTGAAGAAGCAATGATGAAAATAAGGCCTTCAGTATCTGCTGAGGTATTAAATTATATTATATTATATTATATTATACTACCCATTTAATGTTGTATACTTGTTTTCTTATAAGACATATTAGGTTTGTGATACTGCAGGAAAAAAATATTTTATACTAATTATGATATTAAAAAATTAAATCACACTTATAAGATTATAAAAATTATTAAATCAATGAGATATAAAAATTACAAATGTGAAAAATTTGTACTCATGATGAATTTATAAAATATAGTAAAAAAATTTAACTGAAAGGACACAAAAAAATTGAATCTAACATGGTAAATGTATTGTTCTTCTTTTATGAATAGTTTATAAATTATTCTTCTGTTACTTTTATGTTTCGTAAATCATAGCTAGAGGCTAAGATTAATAGGTAATATAAAATAGTATAATATGCATTTAATTTTCATAAAACTAGAAAAAAAAGATATTAATATATATTAATCATTTAATGACTTTGATTGGCATCAAATGTTTTTGGCATATACTTAAATTTGGAAAATACTCTATGAATTAAAATTAAATTCATCTCTATTGTCATGGTTAATATATTATGGATAAGACTTTAATTTTTATTCTGTAAATTTTATAGTTTTTAATTACTTTTTTAAATTTTAGCCACTATATGGGTCATATTAGAGGAGAAAAATTTAGATTAAAAAATTTGGCTAATTTGTATCCAAATTAAAAGTATTGTTTTATAATAAAATAATTTATATTTATGATAAGTCAATAATATTTTATATACAGAGAGATTCACCGAACATTTTAAGATAAATAATGCTTTGTCTTTTTAAAATAAATCCCTAAGGTTATTAATTATTATTTTATAAATTAATATGAATTATTTGATAGATTTTTACAACTAAATATTTTAACACTAGATTTTGAGAGTCCCAATCTAAAATTATAATGTAAAAAACTTTCAGTGCAAAAATATGATAATAAGTAAAAAAAAAAGTGCAACATTTGTAATATAAAATTAACAGCAATATCATTTTTTTGAGTTTCTAACTTAATTTATTTTTTTTTATCAAAAGTTTCTTGATATTTGATTTTTAACTTCTATTATTCAATAATCATTTTGCACATTATCTTTATAAATGTATTCAATTTTAAATCTGTTGTAACAATTTCACACTTTAAAAATGTATATAGTTTAAGAATAATTATTTTTTATTTAACAACACAGTTCAAGATAATATATTTATTAAAACTAAAATATTTTATTTTTTTTTCAGGATCAGGCACATTATGAATTATTGAAATTAGAATATGCTGCACCAAGAATTTGAAGTATAAAATATTATTTCATATATAAAATTAAATTCAATGATACTTGTTATGATGAGTGTTTGTTCCTGTTAATTTTTATTGTTTTGTAATTCATAATTAAAATTTCATTTACCATTGAATTGTTTTCTTATGAGTCATAATATTTTGAGACTCCACAATTTGTCTTAGGCTTTACAAATCATCAGAAGGACTATATTTTTGATATGTTTATTTTTTTATATTATTATTTTTTCTTAATATTCTATACATGGAGATTTTTTTTTGATGTGTTTTTTTTGCACATTGTCTCTTTTTACTTAATAACAAAGAAAAAATTTTTATAACATTTTTGTGTTTTCTTTTCTTTTGATAATATGTAAGTTTTAGGCAAACCATTAATTTTTTATCAAACGGCATTGCAATATGAAGCTTATTAACTCTTTATAAGTATTGTACATTGTATAATTGCCTTATGCTTCTATATTTATTATTAGGGCTCGGATGTTTATGAAATTGCATATTTTTTTCTATTTATCCAATTTAATGCTAACCTGGATACAAATTTAATTCATGTTATACTGAATCAAATAATACTATTTTTATGGTTTCATATTTTAATTGCATATTTTGGGATTTAAAAAATAAAAAAGCATATTTTAGTACATTTTTTTTTTTTTAAAACAATTTAATTAACGAACTATATAATTAATTTCACAATTTTTATGTATAAATTTCATAGATGGTAACTACAGTCTACAATCTACCAAGTATTGACGTAAAATATAAATGTTTATTATTGACTTAACGTGCTTATTCAGAATTACAGTACTTTATTGGACAAGGTCTAAGATCACATCAATTAATGTAGAATAAAGCTTTTCACATTATAAAAATTAACTTGACGATAATAGACACAGTTACAAATTTGAACAAATTAAAAAAAACTATGGTAGCATAGTAAAACGCTAATTATGGTAATCCCTAATTAATAAATAATAATGTAAATTAAAGTAAATAAAACTCTATGTAAATTTAAAAAATGTATTTAAAATTGTATTAAAATAAATAATAAAAATTTTTGTGCATATTTTGGGATTTTTATTGGTTAAAAATGCATATTTTGATTGCAGATTTTGTAATTTTTTAGTGCATATTACAATAGTTTTAAGTGCATAAACATCTGAGCCCTATTTACATATTATGTAGGCAATCAAAGGTTTATGACATTCACATGGACTCAACATCTCAACTGATGTTCTCTCATTTTAAGTTTAACTTCTGTTGTATTGATTTCTCTAAATGTTCTCCCTCGACATCTGAAATTTTTATAATGCAATTATCGCAAACCTCAAATTTATATGTATAATATTGTCTTGTTATCATAACCCTGTTCACCCAAGAAAGTCTTATCTAACGCTCAGCAGATACTTCCTTCATCGAGTAACTGCACCGTCTGCACCTGTGTGGTCCGGAGGAAATCACGTATGATAATTAAATTATATCAATAAAAACTGAATATTTTATTATATTACGGTGGGTAGGTTGGTAACCAATTTACATTATCTATTTACGTTCAATTTTGCTGAACATTTTTCATTTTATGACCAATAGAAATCTATTCGTGATAACAACATTAAACATGGTACAGGAAAAAGCAGTAGAAATGTGGAATTATGCAATTGTCTTTAGTTCAGTCAACTGTACCAGATGTTTGACAGTAAATTTTTTAAATGGAAATTACTCATTATCACTCAATTTTATTGAATACATAAAGTTTAAACTGTTTGAAGATATCAATAATGTTATATTTTTGAAAAAAAATTTGATGAATCTAGTGTAGAGTAAGTAGATATACGGTTAAAATCGAACGTTATTTTTTATGACATGATAAATGTATCGTGTCCACGTATACCTAAACCTATTCGAAACGCGGATAATAAGAATAGAACTCTGGATAAATTCCAATCTACTCCGAATAATTTATTTCGCAAAAAAAACGTTATTTTTAAACAATAGATACGCCTAGTATAATACTTATTATATAATGTAAGAAAAACACGATTGATTAATTGTATATTTGTATCTACCTTTGTAACATTTTAACAATTTGATAACGTTTAAGACTTATTGTACCTATGTTATGATATATTACTTACATTCAATTCTAGACTTGTATTTGATTATATTTTTAAAAAATGTTTTGTTTCAAAAACTCTCGTCACGTCTGTGCATTTTTTCGAAGCACTATTGGTTTATGAATCTCGAGTACATGACATATTTTTAAAATATTTAAATTCTAAATAATTTTTATACATTCATTTTATAGGCTATATAATTGTATAATGTAAAGGCTTGCAATATGCCTATATGGCTATATATCTGTATGGCTTTATAATAGGTAAATAACAATATACTTGTTATATAGGAATAGGTTTAAGTTACGGTAGATAAAGAGTGCAGGATTTAATATGACAATTTTACGTGTACCTAATGAGTATCGATTTTGTGTACGATACAATAATATTGAAATATTAATTTAACTGCACGTCACAGGACTATTTGAACATATTTTGGTCGGGATAACACTAACAGCGATGACCATCTACCTATCGGAACAGTTGGCGGTGGAGTTTCAAAATATGAAAACGAAGATATCGGTTCTTATATTCCCAGTAGTAATAACATTGCGTATAAAATAATGCGGCTGTTGTGGTGACTAGTGAGTAGATAAATAATATAATGTGCAGTGCACGGTGCACGCGTTTATAGACAATATATATGTTATTGTTATTTGTCATCTATCTCTCCGTACACGGCTTGTCGTATATGACGTATAAAGGAAATGGGAAATAGAAATAGACACATCCGTACTGCGTAAATCATACATATGTATGTATGTGTAGGTGGTACTATAGTTCAATAGTTGCGGTGTGTATTGGCGGGGCCGAGCGCGAGGGCGACAAGCCGACAAACAAGTCGGATCGCACGTACAAGTCCGCCGCCGTACCGGATGCGTCGTAATGAAAATTTTAAAAGCGCTCGGGGATGTCGCTCTCGTGTGTATGTGTGCGTTAACATCATATTTTCATATGTGTATCTGTAGTGCATGCGTGCTTGTATGTGTGCACTGTGGCAGTGTGGCGACAGTGCGCTGTGGTTTTTAAAAACGTTTGTCCGTCATCCATGTCCGGTCTTGTGCCCGCGCCCGCGTATGTATGTGTTGTGTAGTGTATGGAAAACAAATGGACCGAAAACACCGGAAACAGGAAAAAAGGGTCAAGACACGCACGCGGATAATTCGATTTTATACCCTTACCCCCTCACGTTTACCACGCATACACCTTCTACGCAGTGAAGTATATTTCTGGGTCTATGCGATGGCGATATTTTTTTTCGGTGTAGGGGGTGGGAGGGAGGGTTAGGAGAGGTCTTAAGTCTTCGGGTAGTGCATGAGCGCGCTCATAAATTTAAAACGACCGAAAAAGCCTTTCGCCCGCTTGTCATTGTATGTATAGTACAATACATATACATATATATATATATATATACTCCACGGCGCATCCTTCGCGAAGTACTGTTGCTATTGCTGCTGCAGTGTGTTCCGCCGTCCACCCTATTCGGTTGACGAAACAAAACAAAACCCACGTAGGATATTATATATACTTATATTTTTATATATCTATATAGGTACACTTGTATAGTAAATAAAAATTACGACCGTCTAAAGGAACAATAAATACGGATACACTGATCAGAATTAACCGATCACTCGGAAAAATAAATTGTTCTATACATATAATATACCAGATGTCCAGATACCTATAAAGATACCTGCTGCAGCGTACCGCGTAAAGTAGACTCGCGCGAAAAAAGTTTCCTGGTGCAGTATCGAGCACCATCATATAACGATATTCACAAATCATATTGTTATATGTTCTAATGTGTTATAATCATATTGAAGTAATATACATTGATTATCAGATTATGTACCAATTATAAAGTTCCATAATTCAATTATTTGAGTAGGCCACTGGTCAAGTATTATACAGTTCTAAAAAAGGATAGTCGGAAGTTGGAATGATTTTATTCTCGCAATAATTTCGTAACTTGACTTGCAAATTTGCAAATTATAATGCATTGCTTGACAGTCTTGACACAATATGTATTGAAGTGCTAAACTACATGCATTAATAGTAATATTGGTAATAAATATCTACAATGCACATTTCGGTAATCGTTAATCCGTGAATATAGGAACCATTATGATTTTTTTCAATTTATGGGTTTTATTCATACAAACCTGTAAAAGAACAAACAATTTAATTCTTGTTTCGATACGTTTCTTATTAAGTATAAAAGGTTGGTTCTGGTTTTAAAGTTAAAAATTTTGCTTCAAATTTTGAAGGATTTTGACGATACTTATATATACTAGGTATGCACGGTTATAAACATAATCAAAACGACAAAATCCAAAGCGGTTCCAATATTATCTATGAGCTGCAGTAGGTATTGTTCTTAATCTATTACCGATTATCCTTTATGGTACAGATTCATTTGTTGAGCGTTACAATAATATGCTACTCTATATCACTGCAACTCTGACTGATGTGAACATATAAGACTAACTGACTGAGTGAATATTAAAATGTGCAATTTAATCTATACAATAGTCTGCGACAGTTGATTCAACGATTTGCGGTAATATATTATTATATCCATAAGCTAGGTCATGAATTATGTGAATATAATATAATTTTATAAATAATAATATAATTAATTATTGCGGTTTTACGTAAATGGGTCCGTGTGAAATTTTAACAGTTGTTTAATGGTGAGGAGGTGTCGTGATGTTGCAGTGATGATGAAATTTTGAATTAAAATATGCACGCCATGAGGGTAACCGGCGAAAGCTCGTGCGCTATAATATGAAATTATATAATCGCCGTGGCCCGAGGGTAGGTGCCTAAATATATGTATAAGTCAATTAAGTATTCCCGTGCGAAACGCGCGGTTCGACGACTTCGGACGACGAAGAGCGAATTTTTTCAAATATTCCACTGTCTGCATCTACCCTCGTGTGCGCGCCTGATCACATTTCATCTCGACCAACTCAATCCGAGGTTTGTGTTTGGCTATTCAA